TTAGGCATAGGGAATTCGTTGTGATTGTTTCTTCACTTCGACCTGCTGTACTAAGCCTGTTTCATGCTCCTCATCTTGGTATAAGTCAAATAACGTAAATTCCTGTCAGGTTTGCCTACTAGCCGGGTGTTGACGGCGACATCTTTCGGCGCTGTTTCATTGTCAACAGGCTGCCAATATGCCAACTTGTCAACCCACAATATCGCGACTCTTGATGGAGTCCCCTATCTAATCGTAGTCAACGCCTACTCATAGTGGCTAAAGATTGCACTGCTTAATCTGACGACTACATCTGTCACTATCGCCTTCCCACGGCGCATCTTCAGCTAGCATGGCCTACCGGATTTAAGGCGCCACCACCAAATCCAGCATCTTTATTCTCCACCCTGTCATCCTCGATCGAACGTCCAGGCGGAACCTTCTAGCCAGCCCTCTTGAAAACCAGTGGATAGGGAACTACTTACGAAATACACCAGGCGTTCCCGTTTGCCCCACGATCACCCCTAACCTCGTGTTCTCTGGTGGTGTCGCTCCCTCCGAAGCGTTGATGGGCCGGAAACTACGAACAAAATTCCATGCACCGTTTCCTACCAGCTTGCCGTCCTTGCAGTGAATTGCGCCTGTCTCTCAGAGCAGACTGGATTGGGGTGAAAATAGCAGCGCACAGAGGCGGCATGCTATTTGACGTAGGTATCCGTGATGACACCTGAATTCGTCACCAAAATCAGATCTGACGGCGGTAATACAGTAATCCAACCAGACCCAAATCAGGTGCATCATCCCCTTTCGACATCCTGCTGGACACCTTTGCCATTCCCACAGATTAACCAGTCCCCTAACCCAATGATGCGCCCCCTTCGGGTTTACCGCTTTTGCTGCCAGTTCCTGGCCCCGCACCTCTAGAACGCAAACTGTCCTCAACACGTCGGAGAATGCTTCGAATCCCAAAAGGAGTCATCGCTGCCACGCTGCCCTGCGTGCACGCACCTGGCCGTGGCTATCGATCTATCCTCAGCTCTGCTTGGCCCATGTCTCCGGCACTTTTAAGTCAAGCGGATCAATAAATACACACAGCCTTTCTGTGAGGATCACTGACTAATTGATAACACAGCTCTCGGCGTGGTCGACTGCCTTCTCTTTCTCTCGTGTGCTGGCTTTGGGAACGGCGGTCGGGCAAGCTCACGGTTCTTGTAAATAACAAATACCAGGCGCGAGTCATAACAACAGTGATGTAAAACCAATCATAACTGCAGTAAATCACAAGGAGAAATGCATTTTTAGTTGTTTCGGAAATTTTGAACAAATGACAGTGAAAGTATGATGATATCTAACTCTAAAGCGATTGTATAACTGTTTATGTTTACTTCATTGCTCTTTTCGCATTTTTAGTCCACAATGAGTATTTCGTTTTTCGCGCCATCTACGAATGATAAAAGAAGCACCTGGTATTTAGCAAGAGCCTGCTATGTTTGTGAACCAACTTTGCCTTCTGTGGCTCTGATAACTGTGAAGAGGAGACAAAATCACAACGACTGCGAATATGAGCATCTAAATCGTAACAGGTTCTAGTTCTGCAGTGCCTCTAATGCTGCTGGAGTCAGACGGTATACATTACCTACAGACAGTAAAGAAAGAAAGGCTTCATTTGAGTAAATGCTGAGTAACATCACAATCACATCAATGAATAAAACGTATCGCTCGTGATCTCACCTGACTGTCTGATTTTCTACATCTCGCAATGAAGAACAATTCCGTACACGGATGTTTACTCCATGTACAGTGTGCACTGTCCCACGAAATTGCTTCGGATCCGCCGTCGTCTGAATTGCAATATAGGCATGCCCACTTGGTTTTTTGTTTGACAAATCCATTACCCTATGCACGTCGAGCACTTTCCCAAAAGACGCAAAGAGCGTAATCAAGTGTTCCTCAGTAATCATAGAACTCAGGCCATCCACATATAAGTCAGTAGCCTGCTGGGATCTAGCGAAAGCCAGATGATTTTGCAGAGCGATTTTCCGCTCTGCTACTTCCTGTTTTCTTCGTTCCTTCTTCGATAGTGAGTTTTGGTTCGTTCTAGTAGAGAAAAATACAGAAACGTGTTTAATATAACGGTTTAGTTGTCGAGACCTTATGTGAATAAACCAGTGGAAAACGCGGAGCAATTATCTAATTACTTGTATTCATTGCACTGTTGTTTTCACTGTGTTTTTTTTGAAGTTGTTTCTGCTGCTCCTGTATTTGTTGGTTTGACTATCGTCTTACTGCTGTTGAATTATGTACAGTGGCATGCAATTAGCCTTGTTAATAGGATACATTTACGGCTTAAAATGTAGTATCTCAAAGTTCAAATTCATACAGTCGTTGTCTTAAGTTAATCTAAGTCTCTATGCGCAGACGAAAAGCAGGTCCGAATTACGTGTGTTCACAAATAATATGAAGGGTTATCAGTTGCCGTTGTGCAAGTCAGACGGTACACATTATTTAGAAGACAATACAGCCGGCAAAGGAAGTAAGGTTACGTTTCTAATAAATTCTGAAAAACATCACAGTTCCATCGATAAATAAATCGTATCGCTCGTAAGCTCACCTGCCTAGTTTTTTTCCTACCTCTCGGAAGGAAGTACACTTCCTCACACGAATTGTAACTCCATTTACAATGTGCTCCATCCAACGAATTTGCTTCGGATCAATTGTCGGCTGCATTGCAATATAGGCATGCCCACCTGGTTTTTTGTTCCAGTAATCCATTTCCATATGCACGTCGAGCACTTCCCCAAAAGACGCAAAGTGGGTACTCAAGCGTTTCTTAGTCATTTTAGACCCCACACCATCCACATATAGGTCAACAGCCTTCTGAGATCTAGCGATATCCCGATGAGTTTTTAAAACGAGTTTCCGCCTTGCTCTTTCTTCTTTTCTTCTTTTTCTCTCCGCGAGTGAGTTCTGGTCGGTACTAGGAGAGAAAAACACAGAAAACCATTTCATTTGACGGTAATTTCCCAAAGGTTCAGTCTTCGAGAGCTTGTGTGAATAAACCAGCGAAAAAGCATTCCTATATGTTCACACACAGGTAAGTATGTTAGCCTTAGGATCGAGGTTTCCTTTTTGCCGACGAAACAAGTGCTATTGGTGGGACGCCGCGCGCCCCATGATGAGTCAACGCACTCAACGGAGTCGCGAGAGCCGCTTGCCGTCAGCCAGTCTTGTATGCTCAATCCTGATTGGCCCCATTGTCGGACAATGTCTCTCGTGATCCCTTTAAAGTGCATACACCCTGTGTCTGACTGACTTGCGCTGGCTTACTCGCTCTGACGCGCTGTACCGTGCTCTTGTCTGAGTAGACTCTTTGTCTGGCAGACTGGTGTTCTCACTGTCTCTCTTACGGGCTCTTGGCGTATCGGTTAGTGCTGATTAGAAGTACCAAGGCGGGTCATAACAGCTATTAAACCCGTCATTACTACAGCAAATTGCAAACAGAAATTTATTTTCAGTTGTTTCGGCAACATCAAACACCAGCAAAATTATGATGACGGAAAAACGTGGGGCGATTATTTATTTATTTGTTTCTATTCCACTGTTGTGTTTCTTCTTGACGTTGTTTCTGCCGCTGCTGATGAATTATTTAGAGCTTAAAAGGTGGTACCTCCAATTTTAAATTCACTTAGTTGTTACCGTAAATTAATCTAAGTTCCTATGCACAGACGAAAAGCAGGTACGAATTACGTGTGTTCACAAATAATATGAGGAAACGACCTGTAAAAAAGTCGGGCAAAGAGTACGGCAGGTCGGTTGAAATGATGACGACAGCAATGTAAATCTAGCATCCTAGGTATAAAAACGTAACCTCCTGTAAACGTTCTCTACTGAGCTTTTTTTCTGCAACTGCAACGAAACAGATCTCTTTAACGTTAATCCGATCGCCGCATATGACACTGCCCATGGCACGGAGTGTGTTCCCATCTGCTGTTGGGTCCAACATGATGTAGGCATTTCCATTGTGTGTATTTGTTGTAGGATGCATAAACAAATGCATATCTTAAACCTCCCACAAATGTACAAAATATGTCTCCAGGTGGTGAAGGGTTATTTCTATTTTCACTCCATGGTGATTTAACAATAATCTGCTGTTTGACAAACCATTCCCTTAACGTAGCAGTTCGTACTGTCGCTAAATGGATTCGGTTGGGCTGGAGAAATTCAGTTTCAGAGGAACAAATTGCTACTGTGAGGGTATGGACTCTATCTTTACGGTCTGCTAGTTGTTGCCTTAGGGACGCTACTCCTGCGACTGCTGGAGACAGAGGGTATGAATAGTTTTAAAGACAAGATAGCAGGCAGTGAACTTAGAGTAAATGCCTAGTAACATTACTATCACATAGACGATAAACTCAAACCTCCCTTAGTCTTACCTGACTGATTTATTGCCTACATCGCCGAATGAACAAGACCTCCTCACATTAATTGTAACTCCATTGACAATGTGTTCCGTTCTAAGAATGCGGTTTGGGTTCCCAGTCGGCCTAATTGCAATACAGGCCTTTCCCATGGATGTATTGGTTAAGATAAACATCATCATACATACATCAACCACTTTTCCGTAAGAAGCAAAGTGGGTTCTCAAATTTTTTTCGGTAATTTCAAAGCCCAGGCCTTTTACGAATAATTCAATAGCCCCGTGAGATCTAGCGATAGTTCGATGGTTTTGCAAATCGGCTTTCTGTTGTGCTTTTCCCTGTGTTATTCGTTCTTGTCTTTCTTGCTTTTCTGCTTTTCTGGTTCGATTTTTGACTGCTGTTGAACAGGAGGTGTTGGGCTCGATGAGGTTTGCTGCGTCGATTCAAGTTGATGCTCCACGGGTAAGCCCTGGCTGGTTCTAGGAGATGAAAACGCACAAGGATTAATTTATTTACAAGGATTTTCTAAGGGGGAATAAAGCAAACAAACGTGGATCGTTAAACTGCCCATTTAATAGTTTGGTCCTGGAGAGCTAATGTCGAGGAAGCAATGTGAGGTCACTCCTAGTTCTACGGGATATTCTTTGACATAGTGTTGTATTTGCTAAGTAACCCTCAAGTTAGGTAAAACAGTGAGCTTAAATCCTTACTGCGAATTCGCACAGTCAGTCCTTGGCTACTTCTGTCATTTTGTTAGCTCTCGTTATTGATGTTTTAATGGGCTTGGTTTTCGAGATTAACCTCTAAGTCAAAATAATGTCTCACCCTATGAAAGAAATAGACGAAAATACATTCCCTGTGAAAAAATCCATTATAGTCTTAACATGTGAGTTGAACTGGATGCCTTCAACGTCTAGATAGATGTTTAATTTTCGAACTTTGATATGCATGAGACAATGTACTCCCTGTTACTGGTATCTAGCGGTATTCTACATAGTTTTTTAATATTCTAAGAAACGCTTAAGCTCAACATTATAAAGAGGTTGCATTTGCACTCAAACGTCACACAGTCAGGCCTTGGAAACTGCAGATGACGTGTTCGACATTTCGATCGTCGTGCAACCAGCGACATACACAACTGTTCACTGTTTTAGCTATGTCCCCCAGTGCCTTTAGTGAGTCTACAAGAATAACTAAAAAGTGAAAATTAACCTTCGATGTCGGGTGTTCACTAAGACTGTGAGTGGCGACTGGGTCAGAGTTGCGACTTTTGCTTGCTTCATTGGGGGTATTGACAACAGTTCGTAAAATTTATTTCACACTGGTTGTTAGGGGCAAGCCTAACGACCCGCTATCACGCCGTCCTGATTGCTCATCCCAATATCGATCGATACAAGCCATGTGAGTGATGAGATCGATCAAGCCACCAGCCATGATTAGTGTTCTACCTTATCATTCTGTTCAAACCGAAGGCAGCTCGGCATATTATCTCTCTAGGACATATAAGACAGAGAATCCAGAATGGCCATTTCTGCCTCATTAGGCGTCGTCAGCT